TGGACTAAGACAGCTAAGTTTTTAATAAAAGTATTTAAAAATATGATAAGTGCAAATCTAAGGTAACTGAGCCCCTCTGGCCAAATAACCAGGATGATACTATCAGTTTTCTATACCAATATTCACTGCTTCTAGTTTTACCCAGTCAGTAAAAGTATATTATCAAGATATTTGTCTCAATAAAGAAAAACATATTCTTTCTTTTCTTTTGATGCCTCAATCTGCATGCCATGAAGAATAGAAGTATCTCCATTCAGGAGTCTATGAGGCATTTTATTTATTAATGGTAAGAATACACTGTAGATATCTCACATGAAAACTGAAGTCACAGAAATTATTCAAATTCCTCTTCATTAAAAAAGAAAAATGAGTGTTTATTTGAACTTTGTTAACATTGTGATGAAGAAGCATCATTGAAAAGAAGCCATATGTCATTTATTACTTTGCAGTCCCTCATTTTCAGACTATTCATGAGGCAAGTCATCTTTTTATTCCTGTATATTCATATAATACATAAAAGAAAATGCAGAGGCTTATTGTGCAGGTCACTTTTTCATGGTGATGTTGAGTGTTTAAGGCCTGGTGCACAAATTCATGCACAGGTGGGGTCCCTTGGGGTAACCTGCAGGGATTGGACCCCAGCTTGTGCCCCCAGCCTTGCAGCCCTGCAGCCCTGCCTGGCACCCTGCCATCGCCTGGTGCTGCCCCCTTACCTGCTCCTCCATCCCACCTGCGAGACGATTGATCAGGGCCAGGCCTTATCCCCTCTCCCCCCCCCCCCCCCCCCCCCCCCCCCCCCCGGCTCCCTCAGTGCCTGGAAGCTGGGTGGCGGCCCTGCCACCTGCTGGTCACCATCTGCAGGGAGATTGGTGGGGCGATCAGGCCCCCACTCACACCTGCTTTGGCCTGGTCCCCACTAACACCCACCTTGGCCTGGTGCCGCCTGCTCACTTGCTCCACCATCCCGCCGCGGTTCTGCTCTCATCAGGGCCCATCAGGGCTGGCAGCGCCTCCACTGCCACCCACTGCCAGCACTATGTCACCAACGCCCACCATGTTCCTTGCTGCACCCTGGTGGTCAGCGCACATCATAGCGAGCAGTTGAACCCCCGGTCAAACAATTTGCATATTAGGCTTTTATTATATAGGTTGTCATAGGTAGTATATACAAATGTGGCTTTTAAAGGGGGAAGGAATCATTTGTTTCTCTGCTACTCTTACCTGTTGTGGTTTAGTTTCCAACTTTCAATTCACTTGTTTTAGTTTGTATTCTGCATGTAGAAGTGAGAATTATTACTTGTTAAGAAAGAGATAAATGTATTATGGTAAGTAAATGGTAGATTTTGTAATTGATATTATTGTTGTCTGTTTACTTGAAAATATTTGCTTTTCATGAAAGTTTGTATCAATACTTGCAGGTGGTAAGAAATCGATAGTGTGATTAAAAACAAGAGATACCCCATCCATCTTCAGGAACAACCTCTTTTAATCATTCTTGGTTAGTTCTTATTCAACTTCCCTATATTATTACTAAAAATTATGGAGGTAACTCTGTATAATGCACTTATACATTGGTTTCCAAAATTTATCACCTTAAGATAATTTCATTGATTCTAATATAAAAGATGAGGATTTAGTTAATTTACATTGCCTTCTTTCTCCCTCTTCTCGATTCTCAATGTATTTTAGTTTATAGTTATGTTATTTTTTTGGCAATTTTATTGGTTTCCATTGTGGGATTTGAAGATCAGAATAATTTTCACAAGTCTTCCTAAAACTAAGTCTTAGTGAGACCACAAAGTACCCCCACACTTCTCCCAAAGCTTCTAAATAGTGATTCCTTATCTAAAAGTGGCTGCCAGTTTTATCTGGAAAGGCCCACAAACCAAGCATCAGTAGAATAGGGATACTTTTGGTGTCTTGTTGCTTGGAGTAAGGCTGGTGGGTTAGGAAACTACTTTCTTTGTACCTTTGCCCAGATCTGATCTCATGCTTGATAAGAGCTGTGAGCCCCCAACCAGCCTCAGTGGCTTGGTTTGCCTGGATAGGCTTCTCCAGAGCTCAGGAGAAGCCAAGATGCTTGAGTTTCCACCTAATCTTGCTGAGGCTTTATCCAGAACATGCATTTGTTGTGTTTTCTCTCAAGGAAGACCTCTAACTGGATCTCATCCCTTTTATTTTTATTGAAAGTTATGTCAGTGTGTGTGTGTGTGTGTGTGTGTGTGTAATCAAAAGTCAGATGCACATCTATATATATAAAACCTAAGCGACCATCCAACCATTCAACCATTTGATTGGTAGCTATGATGATCACTGACCACCAGAGGGCAGACACTCAGTGCACAGGCATGGAAACATGGAACAGATTGATGAATCTCAGAGGGATAGTGGGAGAGGGAAGAGCAGGAAGAGATTAACCAAAGATCTTATATGCATACTAGAGGCCGGGTGCATGGATTTGTGCACTGGTGAGGTCCATTGGCCTGGCCTGTGGGAATTGGGCTGAACTGGCTCTCCAACATCCCCTGAGGGATCCCGGATTGCAAGAGGGTGAAAGCCAGGCCGAGGGACCCCACTACTGCATGAATCCATGCACCGGGCCTCTAGTATCTATATATATAAAACCCTAATATGCAGCAGTTGGGGGCTACTAGGCCAGCAAGGGGGGCATTTGGGGGTAACCTGGCCAGCAGGGGGGGCAGTTAGGGGTGATCAGGCAGTCAGATGCACATCTATATATATAAAACCTAAGCGACCATTGCAACCGAACAGACAACTGAAAGGCTGTGTGGGGCAACCAGGCTGGCAGTGGGGGGGGAGGTCAGTGAGTGGCAACCAAACGACTGAGCAGCAGGCTGTGTGGGGTGACCAGCTGGTTTAGGCCCATACTGGTTGGGCCTAAACTGGCAGTCGGACATCCCCTGAGGGGTCCCGGATTGGAGAGGGTGCAGGACCCCCTCGCTGCCATGCACGAATTTCATGCACCAGGCCTCTAGTAGGTTGATAAATTACCAGGTTTTTGGTTTTGTTTTTTAGTTATAATTTCTAGTCTCTGATATTATATGCATGGAGCCTTTTGTTGGGTGCTTTTGCAAAACTGATGCTGATAATGAAGCAAGTCTTCCCAGTATATGGGCATGTTTCCTGTATAGATTACCAAGTTGACTCTAGTAAAAACAAAAAAAGAAAAAAGATACCTCTCTAAAGCCAGACACTAAACAGAGGATTTTAACCAATCATAGGCCATCATGCCACCTTTATAACATGGAATTAAACAACAGAAGCTGCCAGAAGCCTGGTGACTTATATTTGAAATTCACAGAGCACCTCACTACCCATCCTCCTTCAAACCAGCCACATACTCAGTGTGGCATTGTAACTCCCTAAACGAATGAGCTATTCCAAAGAATTATTGCTGATGTTGATAGCAATTCCAAATAGAAAAGCTAGCTTGTACCTTGGAGGAAAACCGTTAGTAATGGTCAGTTTCATCATAATGGTGAAGACAATGTGTTTTGCTCTCTTCAGCCCACTGTTATTATAAATAAGTATTCTCCTCATAAGTTCCTAGGCTGATAGGAATGTAAAGGTTAAGCTGACGATTTCCCCTATCTGAGGTGGCAATCTGGGGGAACCCAATAATTATGTTGTTTTGTGATGGAGATGCTCTGAAGTTGTGTCTGTTGCTAATACATTTTGCATTAAAATCTAAGTTTGGATAGCAAAAAGAAAAAAAAATAATTATTTTCCAGTAGAAAAGCCTGGTCCATTGCCTTCTAGCATCTAGCATTGGTGATGGGAAGTCATAAGTCAGTTTGAGCTTCATTTCTTTGTAGATGACTTTGAGGTGATCTTCTGGGAACATTTAGAATACTCCACTTGTCTAGATGTTTGAAATTCAATATGGTATAACTAGGTTTAGATTTGTTTTTATCCATTGGGATGTGCACTCTGGTTCTCTTCAATCTGATGACATGGATTCTTCTATAGTTCTGGGAAATTTTCTTTGGCTATTTCTTTGATCACTTCTTTTTTCTATTTTCTCTGCTTCTCTGTTTGCACTTACATTGGTCATAGGTTGTGCCTCAATGACACTTATGGAATATCTTCTTTTTCTGTTGGGCATTGTGACACTTTAGAAGTCAATAGGAGCCATATATGCCTGGACAGTGCTTGCCCTTGAGAATTGCATCAATGCCTAAGCTTTTGTACAGAATCATGTTCAAGAAAACTCATGTTCTTTTTAAAGTGTGTAACCCAGAAGGGAAATGCTAAACGAACAGGCTTTATTTATAAGTTCTCTATTGCTGCTTACCTTTTATAAGTTATCTATTGCTGATTACCTTTTACTTATTCACTGATATTATTACTCACTGTTTATCTTTTACAAAAGAACTTTTAGTTGCCTTTAAATCTTTCTGGTAAGACCAGGTAGAATGTTTTTACTTTATCAGCACTACTGAGCTAAAATTTAGGTTGGTCATCTAAATAATTCAACATGGTCTCTGAGGGAAAAATATTTTGTACATCACTTATTATTTTATTGCAAGCAATAAAAACCTATTCTTCCTTAAACAGACAAACAAACACTTTATTGTCAGAATAAAAGGAAGACACGAACAATCAAATCTCCAGAAGACCAAGTAGTAGAACAGGTTTGCTAATTTCTGTGGTAGGAATAAATAGGCAGTTTCTCTTTAGAATGCTGACCTCACGATGATTTTCCTCTAAACTTTTTGTTAATTGTTACATTCTGTTTAAGATTCAGGCTTCAGGGAGAGAAACTATTGGTTTAGCTTGATTCACAAGCTCACTTTTTGGGAAAAGATGGGTCTACAATTAACAACTCACAATGAGCACTAAGAATGGTGAAACAGACTTCCCAAAGGAAAAACAGAACTTTATCATTAAAAAATGGACAAAAACAGCAAGTGTCCGCTCTGTTTTGTGCCGATGAGCCAATGATCAATTCTAACCCACTGGTTTCTTTCTCATGCTAGTGCTGCCGCCTGTATTGGTGCCAAGACACAGCGAATATAACCCCCAGCTGAGCCTTCTGGCCAAGTTCCGCAGTGCCTCCCTCCACAGTGAGCCACTCATGCCGCACAACGCAACCTATCCTGACTCTTTCCAGCGGCCTCCATGCTCTGCATTCCCTCCCTCATCAGGGCAAGCATTCTCACAGTACCTGTGCACAGCCAGCTACCCTCACTCCCCAGGAAGCCCTTCAGAGCCAGAAAGCCCCTATCAACACTCAGGTCAGTAAAAGCTGCCAGTCTATGTGGTATACAATTCAACACATTTATGGTGTGAGCATCATAGTTTTTAATCACTGTAACTCACGTTCATGTAGAGTTTTACAGTTCACATGGCAATCTCTTGTGTGCTCTTGGACCCTGCCCAGCCTCTAAGATGATCAATACTATATCCATTTTGAAGCAGTTATCCTGGAGCTACAACATGCCTTTGCTCTAGTTTTTGGTCCTAATCCTTTGGACGCTCTCAGAAATTAAATGGACTTGAACAGCATCCTTCGGAATTTTGAGGTGTTTTGTTTGTTTGTTCGTTTTGTTTTTGTTTTCTAAAGCCAGTAGCAATAAGCTTATAAAGACTTCTCTAAGCTGATCAGAAAGAGCTGGCCAGAGGGCAGGCAATATGAGTGCCTCTTTCAACAATCAAAGGGAGTCTCCCCTACAAAAGATGTGTAGGGCAGAGTGAGGCCCCAGTTCCAGACAGTGCATTCTCCCTTTTTGTTATGGGAAGTAAGCACAGCTTCTGAAGCACTGACCTAGTCAATCGATATTTGCTGAATTTAAAAAACATGTAGAAGGGAGAGGGAGAACCAAACCCATTGTGATAATTGCATGTACTCTCACACCTATAAAGTAGGTTTAAGTTAGACAATGAAGAAAAGATTTTATGTACCTCAAGAGTGTGAGAAAATACCCTGAGCTAACAAGTTCCTATGGGCACGCATAAATGCATTTGGTGCCAGATGTTGTGATCTGCCTCATTCATTTCTTCATATATGCCTTTATTTAACAGATATTTATGGAACTCATACTATATTTAAGCATTGCCTTTGGTTGCCAAAAGTAAAATTAAAAGATTAATAAAAATTATCCCCATCCTCAAAAAATTCATAAAATGTGGGAAGGTAAAGAAGTTGCCTCTTCCCCTTAGAGTTATTCCTTTCTTCCTTTTACTCCCTCAAGCAGTACACCTACTATTTTACATATCTATCTACCATTTAAATTCATTACATCTACTACTTGTACATCTATTAAACGTATATAAATTTTTGTGTGTCAGTCATTTTATCTTTTATACTAGAGACCCGGTGCACAAAAATTTGTGCACTCAGGCAGGGGGTTCCTCATCCCAGCCTGTGCCCTCTCACAGTCTGGGACCCCTCAGGGGATGACCATCTGCTGGCTGAGGCCTGCTCCCCAGGGGATTGGGCCTAAGCTGGCAATCACACATTCCTCTGGCAGCCTGGTAGCCCTCGGGGGATGTCCACTTGCCAGCGGGGAGCAGACCTAAGCTTCAGTTGGACATCCTTAGCGCTGCTGAGGAGGCAGGAGAGGCTCCCCCCAA